ACCCTTTGTGAGCCGATACATGCCTTGGTCGTGAGGTAGTTGGCGGAATCCAATTCGAATGAGTCTTGCGTGCAGGTACTGGTGCCACATCCTCGGGGCTTGTTGGATGCCATATAGCGATTTCAGCAGCTGACAGACTTGATTAGGCTCTCCGTTGGAGCCATGCGGTAGCTCGACGAAGATTTCTACATCGACGGGTGCGTAGAGGAAGGCGTTGGCGACGTCAATTTGCCGCAACTTCTTTTTCTTCATGGTGGCGATCGCGGGTAGAATTCGCAGCGAGGTGAGTCGGCTGACTGGAGCGAATGTCTCGGTGAAATCGCGTCCGTGTTCCTGGTCGAAGCCGCGTACGACCCAGCGTGTTTTGAACTTGTCGATGGTGCCGTCAGCCTTTGTCTTCACTCGGAAGACCCACTTTCTGGTGAGAATCGTCTTGTTTCGTGCTACGCCGATAGGAACAACCTTCCAGGTGTTGCGTTCCTCCAGTGCTTTCTGCTCCTTGTCCATGGCTTCGCGCCATTTTTCCTTATGCTCCCCCCCCAGAGCCTGCTGAACTGTCGCAGGCTCTTTAGGAATGGCTGTCCCGTGGACTGCGGTGACCAGACCGAGTATCTGGAGTCCACTCTGTGTGTAGCGGGGAAGTGATGTGTCCGCGGGATAAGCTGCTTCGTCTCCCTCTTGTGGCGTAGGATTGAATTTTGGTCCTACGCGTTCTGCTTCGTTGGTGTTGACTTGTGCAGGTGTAACGTAACCGTTGTCGGCGAAATGGTAATAGGGTTCGGCGTTGATGCTTTCTGTCAGTAGATCTGCACTGTGGATGCCCGATTGATCCTGGAGAGGGTTACAGGCGCGTTCGCCTGTGGGGTTATGGGCGCACTGACCCGCTACTGAAACAAGCCCTTTTATCCCAATGGTCTAGTGGTTGGGATTCTGACATGGTATCAGAGCAGTCTCGGGTTCGATTCCCGGTGTATGCACATGTAGGCCGTTGCCGCTGTGCTTATCCCTGGACCTCCCAGTGTGGGGGGTTGTCAGTAGATCTGCACTGTGGATGCCCGATTGATCGTGGAGAGGGTTACAAGCGCGTTCGCCTGGGGGGTTATGGGCGCACTGACCCGCTACTGAAACAAGCCCTTTTATCCCAATGGTCTAGTTGTTGGGATTCTGACACTTCCGCGTGGATTCTCGTCATCCATTGGGACGTCGACGGAGCAGTAGGGGAGAGGTCCGGCTTCTTCCGAGGCTCCTTCCACGTTCTGCTCGTCCCAGTCAGCTTCATCTTCTGCCGAAGCGAAGGCTCGGGTGCCAAGAAAACCATCAGAGCGGTAGGGGTTTCCTTCTTGCAAATTGGCAAGGTAGTATCGGAGGGTGAGGTTTTCGTAGAAGATGACATCACGTGCTGCTACTGTTTCTTTTGTCGCGACGTCGAAAATCTTCCATGCGTTGTAATGTATTTCGATGCCCAGATGTAGTCCCCAGATGCGCGTTGGGAGAATCGGCAAGCTCGTGCAGATGGGGGCCGGTACTGTACCATGCAGCCGAAGACTCTCAACCTTTTTGTGCTGCCCAGTTTTCCTGTCCACAGCAGATGCGGTGATGCGTTGTTCGGGAGCGATGATGACGAGAGCAAGTTGTGCAGCATGACGGCGTGGTCCATTGCTTCGGGCCACTGGTGGTTGGGCAGGTGCATGCCACATAGCAGCTTGCGCATGGTGTTCTGGAGGGTCCTGTTCATCCTTTCTGCTACACCCTGCTGTTGATGGGCGTAGGGGAGAGAGATGAGTCGCTTGATTCCTCTCTCTGCCAAGTACTCCTTGAACCTCTGTAAGGTATATTCTCCCCCTCCGTCTGACTGGAAGCTCTTGATTTTTACTCCGGATTCTCGTTCTGCTACTGGAAGCCAGGCGACGAAGGCTTCGAAGGCCATGTCGCGGCTTGGAAGATTTAGGTGCCAGACGTATCGAGTGGCTGCGTCGATGAAGGTGATAGTGTAATTGTACGCGTTTTGTCCAGGCTCACGGTTGTACAGGATGTCAATGTACACCTTCTCGAGTGGCGCGTAAGCTGGTGCGCTTAGGTTGTGGTGAGGTACGAACGGCTGATGCGGTAGGTCAGCTTCGGGACAGGTGAAGCATGTTCCACGGGCTCGCTGAAGTTCTCTGCCGTCAGTTAGGAGTAGAGAGTCCTTGTCGAGCACGCCTGCTCTTATCGTGTTATTTAACACCGTGTTGCTTTGGTGACCCATTCTTGCGTGCCAGGTTCCTTTGGTGGCGCGATGTCCGGGTGAGCGCCGATACATGTCGGAGTTGGAGTAGAAACCGGCGGTGAAGTTGGTGCTTCGGTGGACTTCTCGTTGAGTCGGAGTTAGCTGCTGCACGGGTGTTGGTGATGTATCGTCGGTGAAGATTGGTGTCGTTGAAGGACCAGCGATTGGTGTCGTTGTTGCCACTACTGTTGTTGTTGTCTCTGCTGCTGCCGATGTTGTCTCTGCTGCTGCGGATGTCGTCTCTGCTGCTGCCGGTGTTGTCTCTGCTGCTGCCGATATTGTGTGTGTTGTTGCCGGTGTTGTCTCTGCTGCTACCGATGTTGTCTCTGCTGCTGCCGGTGTTGTCTCTGCTGCTGCCGAATGTTGTATTGTTGCTAACGCTCTTGTTCTTTCTGCTTCAGGAATGGTGTGCGAGTACCAGAATCCTTCGGGGCTGAAGTTGGGGTCAAGATCTGGTGGGTTTGTCCAGGAGGTGAAGGTGACGATCCCGTCGCTGTCAGCTGTGCCAAGGTCTGGGACGAAGTCGAGGACGAAGACGTTGTTCTTCAGGACTGCCTTGCCGATGTAGAGACCTCCTCTTCCGTGGTACAACTTGAACTCCTGAGTGGTGCTATCTGCTTCAAGGTGGATGCCTTTCGCCATCAGCTGGCTGGCGCTCAGTAAGTTGTAGCCAAGTCCCTCCGCGATTTATACCTTTGAAATCTGCAGTATAACATTTGTCTCCCTTGACTGAAGTTGAACCACGCCTTGTCGTCATGTGCGCAGGTTCTGATTGTTGGCGACGGTAATGACGAATTCGCGTTGAAGTTGGTGCTCGCGCTGAACGAAACGTCCCGAAGAGCACATGTGCTGCCCGCAGCAACTATCCAAGAACCAAGTATCTTTTCCGGACGGCTCACTTTGGGCGATAGCTGTGTACGTCGGATTCGGCTCTAGTGTCTCGCGGCGTGGCGTGCTTTCGTCAAGGAGTTCTTCGGGTGAGTATGTTGGTGGTGATTCGGTGATGCAAGAGTCGGAGAGTCTTGCCATACAACTGACGATGTTTCTAGCTCCTTGTGCAGGTTGTCCCGTTGATGTCGTTTGAGCTTGAGCGGTGGGGTTCGCTTGTGTTGAAGCAACTTGGCTGCTTGAGGGCCAAAGCTGTCGCTGTGGCGGTGTTGACTGTTGTTGATTCGGGCAGTGTGTGTGCGGATGTCCTGACGTCTTGCAGAGATGGCAGAACGGAGGTACGGGCTTTGGTTGCTGTCGGTTGTTGTTGTTGTTGTAGCGCCGCTGAGTGTGGAAAGCGAATTCAGGTGCTGACGTCTTCCTCTTGTGCCTTTCTTCTTGCAGGTCCATGTCTTGTTGCTCGGCATGAATTTCAGAGCAAAGTGCTGCTTCGGATATTCTTCCGTGAGCTCGGAGAATGGCTTTTGTGGCGCGCCATTGAGGACCGAGGCCGCCAATAATGACTATCACGAAGGCGTCTTTAGATATCGACCCTCCGCATCGAAGGAGTTTGTCGCGCAATTCGCGACAGCGACTGATATGCGCCATCCCCTTTTCCCCTGGTTTCATTTCGACCGTTGTCAGTTGCGCCATTATTCGACTCTGACTTACGCTGTCTGTTGCTTGGTACAGGCTTTTCAAGTAACTGTATGCGAGCTCGGCGGAGTTGCCGTATCCCCGGTAAGACCGTATATTCTGTTGCTGAGTCGGGGTGATATTCCTCAGTAGGATTGTATCATTGACTGATAGGTGTACTGATTTAGTAGCGGAAGCGTTTTAATGAAGAGTTTGTGAACCACATTGCGCTAGTATGTGACGGCAAAGTTGATTGATTAATGCAGAGAGATAAAAGATTATATAAGATTACAAGGAATACGAAGAGATACGGTTCCAGCTGTTTTACTGTTGCTGTTGCGGTTCGATACAGTGACGACTCGGGCAACTGCTCTGTAACGAGTCAGTTGTGTGTCCTTGCTGTCGCGTTGTACTTGTCAGGTCAAAATTCGCTAACCTTTGACTTTTGGGTAACCTCCAGCAACTGCTCAACCTCCGAGCGTTGACTCGCCAGTGCTTCGATATGCTTCGCTTTGCTTTTGACTTGGTGTTTCGACACGACAGAGGCGCTTAGAGTTAATTGTTTCCAACATAAACAGATCGAGCTTACGTGATTGGCTCCCGCTAAAACAAAAATTGCCGCTTGTACAAGGAGTCGCATTCGTGTACTTGCACGACAGTTGCACGACAATGGTTTCGATCGCTGGACCCAGCTTCTATCGAAATATATTTTATATCTTTTATAACTGCTTGTAGCTGTAGTGTAGTTATTATGTTTTGTAGGTGGTGCACCTTCTTTCCTTGCATGTTTTTTCCTATTTTTACCCTTGCTCAGTATTGAATCATCATCATTGGCCAAACTTCCTTCGCTCCTACCCTCGTTACTCTCGCTCCTACCTTATCTATGGCTCTTAAGTTCTGAGCCTATGCTAGCTGTTCTAACAGCTTCATGTTCAAGCGGTTCACTACTACCGTAGCTTGTTTCAGATCCTGAAGGCTATTTTTCAGCCTAGCATAGAATAGCTGAAAACCTAGACATTTTCTGCCCAAGCGCGTCGATTGTGATTTTAACTTGGATGCCTAATTATTTAGTAGAATATCTAATTGTTTTCCGCATATCGCGAAATTGTCACATTCCCCGTCGCAATCGGCCTCGCTCTGACGTTGCTGCGTCACTCTTTGCAACGTCGCCATGACGCTCGCAACGAAACGCCTTCCCATCGCCCTCCTCTCTCCCGTCGCCTTTCCTCTCTCCCCTCTCCTTTCCTCTCTCCCATCGCCCTCCTCTCTCCCGCCGCCCTTCCTCTCTCCCGTCGCCTTCCTTTGTCCCGTCGCCTTTCCTCTCTCCCGTCGCCTTTCCTCTCTCTCGTCGCCTTCCTCTCTCTTATCGCCTTTCCTCTCTCTCGTCGCCTTCCCTCTCTCGTTGCCCTTCCTCTCTCCCATTGCCAGTCCTCACCCCCCTCGCCCTTCTTCTTCCGCAACCCGCCGCCCTCGCGTTCCATCACAATCGACTTCCCAACGCACTCCACCCTCCGTGTCCGCCTCCCATTGCTCGTACTGTCGCTCGTCCCGTCAGCCCGTCCAATCGCACGTACCATCGCATGTCCCGTCGATCCCTCTTCAGGTCCTTGTTCCCGTTCCCTCACTCTCTCCCCCCCCTTCCCGTCGCCCTCACTCCCTCCCCTCCCTTGCCGTCGCCCTCGCTCTCTCCCCTCCCTTCCCGTCGCCCTCGCTCTCTCCCCTCCCTTGCCGTCGCCCTCGTTCTCTCCCCTCCCTTCCCGCATGAGTTATTCATTGCTTCGCAATGTGAATTTGGCACTGGTTGTAAATGACTTGCACGCAGGGCTTTTTTTTTGGATTTCCACTACTCGGATTTCCAGAGCTGTTTTCTAGGGGACTCTGAAATTCAGGGTTATTATGAGCGTTTACTCTGATTTGTCAGAGAAAACTTCTGAAAGTAAGCTCCGGATAGCCAGCGTAACTATTTCTTTATTCTGAGTGTCCTCTCAAGTATTGAACCCAGGCCTACTGCACTCAAGTACCAAACCCGCAACCGTTGTGCTACGCGCTTATAAATCTAGTAGTTGACGGACTACCTCTATCTTGTCAGCCAAACCATCAGTCGAAATGCCTATACCCTGTACAGAGAAAAATACCTTCGCCACAAATATACACTGGTCTCTCAGAGTAGCTAAAATCAGAACCCTGACAAATCAGAGAAAACTTATCTTCCAAAAAAAATTACCCAGACACGTCAGAGTGACCCCCTAAAAACCACTCTGATTTTCAGAGAAACAGAGTAATTTATTCTGATAAAAAAATCCCTGCTTGCATGTCGCAAACTTGGAGCGACGCTTTTGCACATGCTTGCGACGATTTGTGTTTGAGAAGAAATGTGGAGAGTCGACCAGTATCATATGCGCCAGTAAAAAAAAATACAGAACAACACTTCAACTTTCAAATGGACCCAACTAAAAGGGGGGGGTCACTATTTCAGCTCCGGGCCTTTTTTGTGAGGAGGGACCCAACCACTATATATCAGGTAGCAGACCCAAATAAAATCAACAGAAAGGATTAGCTCAAGGTACTGGCATCCCTACCAACTGGGATGGATTAAGTTAGCAAGCACAACATGCAAAAGTTAGATACTATGTATGGTATAGTCAATCATGTAAGGTTTTGAGAGCCACAAAGTCCACTGTTACCATTGCTGCCATCTTCATCACCATCACCCACCGCAATACATACACAAGTTAACCGCCACGTCCACCACACCCCACTCCTGCTCCTACCCACTTCCACTGCTTCCACTGCAGCCTTTTGAGGCGACTAAAATTGTTCTCGGCATCTCAACTCAGTCTTGCTACCGGTGGTGCCATTCCACTGCTGCTAATGTTGCAGCTTCACATCCCATCCGTCACACGTTCCCATCCCTGCTGCTGCTGATCCTGCTGCTGCTCCTGCTATTGATGATGCGGATTTAAAGCTGTTGGAACAGAATCCCCTTGATGCCGCGAAACATTCACTGTAGACGACACTGTAGATGCTACACCAACCACCGTCGACCTTATCTTTCTAAGAGGAGCTGCAATAGCCGCGGGTTTCAGGTTCGGCAAGTCCAGCTTCGGCCGAGGCGCCCCAGAAACGCCGAAGCTGACAGCTTTGCCCTTTACGCTGTCCAAGCCACTATAACTTGACATGCCTCTTACCGAGCCTCCTTCCGAGCCTCCTTCAGAACCCAAGGAGCCAGACCCATCAACAGCATTGAAGTCAATGTTCTCAAAACTGGGAGATGATCTTTTGAACCCACCTTCCCTCCCGCTCCCTCCACGCATGCTCTTAATCAGAGACCTCAGCTTCGCAGCACCACTAGAGCCGCCAGAACCCTCCTTCTCTCTTGACGAGCTCTCTCCTACCTTCCCTCCCGAACCTCCCAAACCTCCTGAACCTCCCGAATTTCCCGGTCCTCCCGCTCCGGCCCCACCACCCCCCCCCATGGCCATCTGCTGCAGCTGCTTTGACTGGATCTTAGCCAGATTCTCGTTCCACCGCCAGATATCCCCGTCAATCCCTATGGACCACTCCGGCAGCTCCCTTTTCTCAATGAAATGCGCAATGACACGCAGGATGCGCGGGTCACGGAAATACGCCCCGTGATTCAAGTCGAAGCGGCCAGTGAGCTCTCCCATTCGCTCCTCAATCATCACACACAGCTGCTGCAACTGCCGCTCAAACTCGCGCTCGCTCAGTCGCGGGTTGCGCCCGATTTTGTTCATTTGGGACTTGAGCCGCTGGAAGGTTTGTGATTGTTCTGCCATCACTGCCAGCTCCTGGTCGTCCCACAGGAACTCGTACACTAGCTTCTCTTTTCCACTTTCAGCCGGTGCTTCTGGCACGGACATGGCTGGCACGGACACGGCTGGCACGGACACGGCTGCTGCGGCTGCTGCTGATGCGGAAGCATCGTCATGCACCTTCCCAGAAGCTTCGTCCGCCGTGGAATGGGCTGGGTCGCCAGCACGAGTTGTTGAAGAGCCCCCAGGAACACCGGGAACGGACAAGGTGGGGAGGCCTGCTGCGTGAGGAGAGAAGGCTGGAGGCGCGTGTGGCAGCGGCCGGGGTAGAGGCGATGGAGACGGCACTGGAGGCGAGTTTAAGCCAGCCAGAAATTCAGCCGCTCGTTCCAGGCTCTGCTGCTCCTCCTCTGGTCGGTCCAAGCTGACATTTCTCACCAACTTCTGCTGCTTCTGCGGCTTCTGCTGCATCTGTTGCTTCTGCGGGCTTTTCCCCCCCCTTCCCTCCCACTCTCCTTCGGGTGCATCAAACCACTCTTCCTCTCCCCCACTCCCCCCCTTCTGCACCACCCGTTCTGCAACCCCTCCCATAACCACACGCCCCTCTGCTTCTCTCCTCTCTCCTCCCCTCCCCGCACCTACCCCTGCCTGGGTTTTCTCAAACACCCCTGCTGCAGTCTCCCCTCCCTGCTCCCTCTGGTAGCCCCCTGCTGCTGCTCCTACCCCCTCCCTCTCATGCACCCCTACAGATGCTTCTGCCTGTGGTTCCCTCTCAAGTGACCCGAAACTCACCCCCCTTTCATTTGCTTCCACTGCTGCCTCTGCCACTGCAGCCAGCGTTGTCAGCCGCCCGCCCCTGACCCCCTTCCTGCTCCTTGGTCTCCCGAACGCGCCTTGAATCTGCTGCGTGCCGAGGGGAGAGGTTGAGGGATCACCGGGAGAACCAGCAGAAGCAGCTGCTGCTCCTGTTGGTGTTGCTGAATGTGGAGAGTGCAGGTGCGAGGGCGGGCGGGGCGACTGCAATACGGGTTCCATCCACTCGGGTTGCTCCACTGTGTCGTCCTCATAGCCGGGCATCAACTCTCCCTTGAGTGACTTGGTCTTCGCCTCTGCCAGCAGTTTCTGGAGAGAAGAGGGGAGAGGAAAGGGAAGAGAAATAGTAAGTGATTTCTTGCTGACTCACGCGGGTGACCAGAGCATTCGAGGAAACAGAAAAAAAAAAAAAAAAAAAAAAAAAAAAAAAACAACAACAACAACAACAACAACAACAAAAACAAAAACTGGTCATGAAAGTATTTAAAAGCACACCCAAGACACAGATATGTTACCAACCTGGACGTTCCAGTGGTCGACTTGCTGAGTAGCCAAATCCAGATCCAAGTGCTCATCCACGTAAATGTACGCGTAGTTCAAATCGCCAGACGACAGCCCGAAGCTGATGGTGACAATCATCTTCTGGAGCGAGCCAGTCACGATGGGCGCGATGATGTGCGAGCAGACGGACATGATGGCGGCTGGAAGAAAGAAGAGTGTGTCCCACACGAAAATGATGGCGCAGTGGAAGAAAAAGGCCCACCAGTCCACCTGGCGTGCGTAGCGGGTGGGAGGCTTGGGGAAGGGCGCCCAGGGGGTCTGCTTCAGGAGTTTTGTCAGGTGGGGGAAGACGTAAGCGCGCGTGATTGGCTCCATGGATAGCGCTAGACTGGCCTGTTGGGTTGAGGGAAAAAAAAACACACACACACACACACACACACACGCACACGCATGCACTCACTCTCTCTCTCACACACACACACACACGCACACACATGCACTCACTCACACACACACACACGTACGCACACACACACGCATGCACACACTCACTCACACACAAAAGCATGCGCACGCACGCACACACACACACACAGAGGAAAGGGGATTATGATTGGAAGGGACAAGGAGGTTGGGGGGGGGGGGGGATGGGGCCGGGTGGCAGGGTGATGGAGGGGGAAGGGGGAGAAGTGGGGAGATCTTGGAACAGGAATGGTAGAATTGGCAGAGAGAAAGGAGGGAAGGATTGATGGTTTGTTGTAGGGAGGACTGGACATTTGAAGCAAGGAGAAATGGTGGGGAAGGAAGGGAAAGAGGAGTTGATGGAGAGGGGAGGGTGGATTGACTGTCGGGTCAGGACAAGGTGCAAGGAGGAGGGTGGATTGAGGTGTGAGGAGGAGTGAGGGTAGATATAGGTATGAGTGGGTACCAATGAGGGCCCTCACCTCATCGAGCTTGCCGGCATGAATGACGAGAGCAGACATGGCTGGCGACCAATCAAAGCTCGGCTTGTGGTAGAGATTGCCACTGTAGAACACTGTGGTGCGCAGAACCTGTAAAGAAAGAAGAAAGGGAAAAAAAAGCAACAAGTATTAATTATGCGCTTGTACAATTCTTTCGTTGTAACTATGTCGTTGCATACTTACAACCAGACTTCACCTGACCCTCACTCTCCGAGACTTTGCACACTTAACATTGATGAGGAGTAACCGAATACCAGGGGTGATGAAGAGTGAACTTCAGTTTACCTCGTTACAATGTCACATGGAATTCGAGCCGCCTACAGATTCAATTCGTGTACTCGCATCCATGACTTGCTTCACATTGATGAGAAGCATGATTCCAGTCACTGAAATTCGTGTGACTCAGAAGTTACCTCGTTACAATGTCACACAGAATTTGAGATGGCTATGAAGTCACCTTGCGCACTGTACTGTACTCACATCCTTTTGAGGCGCCTCAAAAGTCGTGTACTCACATCCATGACTTGCTTGATATTGATGAGAAGCATGATTCCAGTGGCTATGACGAAAGGAGGCGCACTCTGGCCATAGAAGCTGGAATTGGAGGGGTTGGGACAAATGAAAGGAGAGGTGGGGGGATAAGGGAGGATGAGCAATGTAAACAGACAACCCTATACGTACACAAGACAAAACACAGATTGTTAAAAAGGAAAAAG